ACCGGGCGCTGCCGCTCGCCCCCCCCCGACTGCCAGCGTGGGACGGGGATGGGGGGGACACACCGAAACACCCCCGCGTGGGCTGGGGTGGGTGTCTCGCACATTAAAAACGTTAAGCCCCCAGGGGAAAGTGCGATTTCGGTGCTCCAGGGTGACTTGAATTATTCTCCGAGGAGGTTTGGTCGCGGAAGGCAAAGAAGGGATGCAAGGCGTTAGCACAGTATTTTTAACGTGGAAGAGGAGAACAATCGTGTCGCTCCTACCGCCTGTCGGGCCTTCTCGTGAATTGGGAAGAGACGGAAAATAACGATTTACGTTTTTGCAACGCTGTAAGAGCCCGTGGGGGAAGGGGAACGCCCCGGGCACGGGCGCTGCCCCCCGAGCTGCGCTGACACGGGGAGACACCGCTTTATTCCTCTCGCCCCCCACCACCCCGACTGGAGCTGTTCCTTGTGTTTTACCTCAGAGCATAATATATATAATTTATATATTGCTCGGGAAAAAAAATGCAACATACCACAGGTCAAAAAAAAAAAAAAAAAAAAAAAAAGAAGACTTGGGCACAGAATTTTGCAGTGTTACATAGCGGGGCATTTAAAAGCATAAATTTTCTCAATGCTTATAAAACCGCCCCCGCTCTTTAAATGGAAATTTTCCATCCAAAACACAATCTTTCTCGTCTTTCTTGAAAGTATATTAAAGTAACAGCTTGCCTAATGCTAGCTTACAATATCCTGAACTTACACGTTACAGAGAATTTGATAGCATATATGACTGGAGTTATTTTCACTTGTTTGTATTTTCCACAAACCCAATAACAGCAAGCCCCAAAGCAAACACCACTGTGGGTCCATATACACACACATATCACAAAAATAGTTGAACAGTAATTACACGTGGTAAGTCATAAAGTGATTAGGATACCGATACTGAAATAAAGGAAACCTTACTGGCAGGTTTAAACACAAGATAAATAAAACAAGTTACTACTTTCTAATTACTTAAAAGCTTTTAAGAAATCATGATAAAAATGAGACTATAAAGTTCGAAGCAAAAGATAAAGCGAGGGTTTTGAGTGCAGAATTACTGCAATTAGATATAAATGAGCAATAGCAATTAGCTGATACTGTAAACTAGAGATGAACCTGTTTAAAAAAACAGCAGGAAATACCAGCATTATTCAAAACTAAAAAATAAGAATCAAAATATCAGTGATCAAGTGAATCAAAATATATTATAGTGTTGAAAAATTGCCAAATTGTTTAAGTCACAAAACACATTCAAAATATTTTTTTACATTTTAACAGTTACATTTAAATGTTCCAAATGAAACAAAATATCTTAAAGCATTTATATGCAGTTACATACAGTTAATATGAAAAGACGACACACTAGAGCACAGAATACTCTTCCTTCCCCTTTAATAAGAAAAAAATCCAGTAATACTAGCTATACCAACATTCAAAAGATAAATATTTAAACAAATTTCTGTCAAAGCTGGGAAGCAAGTTCCATTACAGTAGTCTCAGAAATTTTGAACAGGGTGATGAAGAAAATAACAACAATGGAACTATTAGAAAACAAGTATTTATTTCAGAAATGTCTTCACTTGGCAAACACTCACTGGCATACAATAAGCTCCTAGAATTAAAAAAATAGCCACAAAGGCTCTCCTAAACCTCGTCTTTCCATAATTTTCATCAGATATAGAGGATGTGTTAATAGGCCAGAATTGTAAAGTGCTCAACAGTTTAGTTCAGTCTTTTAGAACAAAATAAAAAACCCACTACCCTCACATTATGTTAAATAAAAACATTCATATCTTTCTCAGACATTATTCCAGTTTTTGTTTTTATATTTTCCCCATCTTTTAAATATTTTTGCTAAATAATTTTTCTTTTAACGTGCCATCTCAAAAAAGAAAGTAATCCAACATTCTGCCTGGCAATAACAGCTATTTTTTTTTAAGCCACTTTTAGTGATAACTTGTTGCTTTTAATTAATGTTACCACTTTTACATTAAAATAGCTTTGCTGCTAACTCGCACACAAGCTGAGAAGGTGAATAGATGCATTTGTGCAATTCAATAAGACCAAGCAAAAAGAAACACAGGGTATTTATCTTATAAAAGTGCTACCATCAACAAAATACAGTGGCTTAAAGTAGTTACCTAAGAGATGTTCTCCTCGGGCTATTAAAACATGTTTCTAAAATTACACAGATTCCCAGCTGGACGCTTTACAAAGGCATGCCCACACACGCCTATGCTAACCTTTATTATCTGGCCATTTAATAATCTATTGTTTCTGTAGTTCACAGGTTTAAAATGCTCCTTCTTTGAAAGTACTCACAGAATTCTTTAAATAAATATCTCTCTCTCTCTCTCTCCCATTTCTAGGCCGGTAACTACAGCACTGAAGTTAATGGGAGCTTTGCTAGGGTGATCAGACCCCCTAGCTCTTTTTAATAGCAGTTAAATGTCAAATATAAATACAACAGCACAGTGAAACGTATTCCTTTGACAGAATCTGGGACAAGACACTACGCAGCTGCTGTTAACAATAAAGAGCAAAACTGACATTTAATCAAAATAAGTGGTGGTGGTTACCAAGTTGTGTTCAAGCCTGCCTTTTGTTTGTGAAAAAGTCGATATTCCGACGTGTTAACTACAGCCACAATGAAATCGGCAGCTTCTGTTACTCCCAAAGAGTGGAGAGGTCCCCGGCCGCGCAGCGCGTTATAGCTGTGCGATTATCGTCGTCTCAGAGAGGGAGATGCTCTCCGTTTAAACTGCTAAACTAAAACATCGCTCCCAGCGTCCTCAAATTTAAGTGCCTAAAGTTAATGCTGGGTGAAATCCTGGTCCTAGCGAGGTGGGTGCAAAATTCAGCCATGGGTTTCAACGAACCTCATGTGGGGTTTTCACTGGGAATGAGTATCTGTAATTCCCTGGGAATGGAGAATCTCCAGCAAGCCTAGAAATGATGTCATTTTTATTAATATTTCTAACTTCTAAGCAACCATGCTCAAGAATTTTGGCCTTCAGTTCTTATGCACGATAAAAGCAAGCCTTCCAAAAACATTACAGAAAGACCAGAGGAAGATATAAATATATCTCAAATTGTCAGCAGCATATAGTTTGTACAAATGTTGTTTTGCTGATGTTGCTGAGCTACTTTAAAAAGTGAATACCTTGTGGGGTATGTAATTTCATCACCGATGTCAAATGACTTCTGAGGATGAAACTTCTCTGATGCAAATTACAAAAAGATGCTTTGAATATATTTGATATGATATACCAACTTTTAAGCTGAGGAATTAAGTTATCTTTATTTTTCAGATCTGAGACACGCACTCACTAGGGGATATATTTTAACTGCCACGTATGTCAGCAGAGCGTGACTCACCCAATGCTGGGATTTTAATAGTCACAGAAACCTAAATGTAATAGGTAGCGTGGAGACCCGAATCAACATCCATAATAAATCAACAAACAAATAGTATCAAGGTCTGTTTTGAAAATTTTGTAAGGACATATGGTTATACTGATGACACGTCTTTTAGCTACGCGTTACCAGCCAGCCGTGTTTACGTGGTACACGTAACCCGTAAACAGAGCAGAAACTGCTTTGTACTGTCCGCAAGATAGCAACACAGGAATGATTTTTCATGATTCTTCAGAAGCTGGGCTTGCTTTACATCCACATGAAATGCTGTCATCACTAGGTCCGAGCCCGGAGGATGAACTGCAGAAAAGGGGAGAGGGAAAAAAAAAAAAAATAAAAGGAGGAAATTGGTTTTCACAACACACTCAAAGCCTGAGTAACAGAGGAGAACTTTAATTATCTCCAGTCACAAAGAGAGACAGGAAATTTGGACTTTTAATTAGCCATTTGGAGTGCAGTTGGATATTTTTTTAGCAAGATAATTTAAACGCGAATAATTCAAGTCTGACTAAATGAAATTCACATAATCAGAATGCAGATAATTGAATTTCTACTGCATTCATTAATTCAGTGTGGAGGTGTGTGTGAAGACTTCTATGATGAGCTGTCACAGCTCAATAAAATCTCAGTCAATTAATTTTTTCATTATCTTAGTATTACATCAACAAAAAAAGTGAGGCATGCGCATGTGTATGTATGTATATATAATCCCAGAAAGTAAGGAAATGCAGAAATCACCTCTCTGAATCAGTCTCCGCATCATTTTTTCCTTTTTTTCTCTCCTCATCTTCTATAGGAAAACGTCTGTTCAAAGAGGCGAACTTATGAATTGCATCAGCAACAGAGTATTTGGTCTGCCCAGATACACAAGCCTCCATGTCTTCCGGGCTTAGCTGGGTCTGTAAGAAGAGGTGAAGCCTACTGTCTGAAAGCAACAATGCATCTTGTAGGATCCTGGAAAAAGAAAAAAGTCAGATGTTTTTATACAGAGGCACATACACATATATTCTGAAGTGTTTTACCAGCACAAATTCTAAACGATGACTGGCTCTTAAGTTTTCAGATGAATCCTAAATCAGTAACAGAAGGTAATGAACATACTAAAATGATTAGGTGTGTGTTACTTTCTTATTACATTATTTGGAATTTTAGGTGAGTAAAAACACAAAGCTAATAGTTAGGCACATCTGCTATTAGAATAACTTCAAGGACATTTCTTCCATTTAACCATCTGTTATTACCACATGGATCAATTAATGATTTTTAGGCAGTTGGAGGCATATACTCTTACGAAAATTTGGTCTCCATTTGAGAATTTTTTTTTTTTTAAATAGCTAAGCTTTTCTAAAAATTACAAGTCACCAATTTCTTTGGTGGGGTAAAGAAGCGTGTACAGAGGCAGAGGATTTCATACACAGGCAGTGTCAGGACTTTGAAATACCCATGAACAGCAGAGATGACGCAAGCCAGAATCATTTATGCTTTTACAACTATGTGTACATTTAAGCTAGAGTGAAAATGCTAATACTGAACACTGATTTAAATTTACTTGCAAACAGTTTTCAGGGAATCTGAAATACCATTTTCATTACAGCTATTCTTTTCAAAGTCTATTTTAATCTTTGGTTTATATGTATTTTCAATTAAGTCTTCAAATAAATTTAGCACAGAGTATTTACTTACATCAAGCCAGAGTAAACAAAATACAATACATTCCAGTAACACAGAAAGTTGCAGAGATACTTTTATAAGGACCGAGAATTGAGGATCATCATCACTATTTAAAAAAAAAAAAAAATGCAACACTGCTGCAGCATTCCTCTAAAGAAGGAATTCGTTAATACACAAATCCTGGCATGATTAACAAGAGAGGTTTTTTTAATATGTATATGTAATTTTACTCATGTAATAAAGTCATCAGAGCCTATGACCATGCCAACTGTGCTCCACAGAAAATTATTAAAATATCTTTAAACAAATCAAAACTATTAAGAGTCACTATCTACCTACTTCTACCCATTTAGGTCATGGTCGTTACCAAAAAAGTCATTGCTATGCAACAGGAAACAAGAGATGACATTAATATAAGAACTAGTAAGAGCAGAAAGAAATATTGTGTTCTATAGGTACTCTGACTAAAATGAAAAGTATAACTGATTAGTTCCTTCTCTCAAATACGATTAACAGTGTGTTTTAAAACAGTACAGTCCAAACACAAATACGTTCTGAAAACTTCTCTGAAGTGGCCAACATTACATTAACGTTTAATAAATACACCAAAGGATTTTTGGCTTCATCTAAGCCTAAAAAAAAGAAAAAATCCATCAAATCAAAATAGGTAATAAGAGATATCTAACTGAAAACGCGGGATATTTGTGTACATGCACATTTTGTTTGCCTAGGTAAACATACACACAGTCTCAACCAACTAAATCAAACTTTGACACCTTCCAACGAGGAAATGTCTGCAATGACCCTAATGAGCTACCAGGTGCCTTTGAAATTCAGTCTCAGAAGGACCAGATTTCGCTGAAGTGCAAAATAAGCACACTTTCATACCTAGAGAGAGCCTTTTTAATCCAAGCTGAACTCTCACAATTTTACTTAAACATAGCAAATAGACATCTGTAAAATCAATGCACGCAGTGTAGTAATATACAGAAAAATCTCTTCGTAGTCTAAAAGAAGCCAGCAAATACTGTGGAAAAATGATTCAAGACACAGAATTTACAGGTCTACACACCTTGACAGCAACAGCTTCATGAACACAGTTTTAGTGGCTGCTGAATGGTGGCTTTTCAAAGAAATAAACAGCAAATAGACATCTGTAAAATCAATGCACGCAGTGTAGTAATATACAGAAAAATCTCTTCGTAGTCTAAAAGAAGCCAGCAAATACTGTGGAAAAATGATTCAAGACACAGAATTTACAGGTCTACACACCTTGACAGCAACAGCTTCATGAACACAGTTTTAGTGGCTGCTGAATGGTGGCTTTTCAAAGAGGATTTCAGCCTTGACTCTCAATAAACGTACGTTCCAAACAAAGACAAACATTGCAACAAAAAGTAAAAGAAAAAGTACCATTCCACACAATAAATCCACGTTTATAGTTTATGGAACTGGGGGAGTAAATATTCCCCTTCCTCTTTTCTTCCTCTTAAAAAAAAAAAAAAAGAAAGAAGAAAAAAAGAAAAATAACATGCTGGAGTTTACTGCAGAGTAACTACAGAGTTCCTGTTTTTCCCAGGCTTACGAGCACAATGAGGGGATGCACATTTCTGCAACACTAACATTTGCGTGTCTAATACCAAGTAACTCAGCAAAAAGCCAAGACATTAAATTCTGTGCATGGCATTTGGTTTCACAGATTTTTTTCCTCTTGCTGTACCTTCAAAAGTTTCCTGCCAACCAGCGAAAACACAAGTAACTGCTCGTGAGATCACACCACACTTAGAGCTCTGTTGCTGTTTGAAATGTATTTTATTTTCTTTATAAAATAATGGGTAATCTTTAAAATTGATTTTAGATGGTTTGAGGCATTACACCAGAGAAGTAATGAGCACTAATGTCAATGCTATTGGACACAAATTCATTTTAGCTTTATTTCATGTCCAGTACAATTCTGCTAAGCCTTGAACTGCTAAAGCACTGTTATTAACTCGGCAGTAACCTAACGCATGGAACAGCAAACAAAAGTGATAAGAGTACAGACTGATCAGGACCTCAAGGCTACTGTCCTTTTTCTGCAGCTATAATTCAATTTCCAATTTTACTTTACATTGGACTCATTATTTCACAGTAATTTTCTTTTTTGCTTCATAGTGCCATCTGGAGGTGAAAGGAGCAAAGAGAAACCAAGGCGAAGAAATTGAAAGATGTTCATAAAGCTAATCATATATATATATATGTATGTATATTCTCAAGTGGGGGGAAAGGACCAAACTCTCAATACATTTTGCCAGGCATTTAAAAACCATCTCTAAAGCAAATACATGAACACCTTTCACTCCGTCATACCCTTGAAGCATTTCTTCTTTCTTTTAATCAAAAAGTAACTTCTGCTTCCCACCCCCCCCGTGTGAACCAACAGGTTAGATTGCTTTTTAATGGCATCCTTCAAGAAATAAAAATAAAAAATAAATTCTGTGCTATCCCTAAGTGTTTTGCTTTCCTGTTCAAAATACTCCTTCTTCAAGGAAATAACCACACATTTGTCACTGGGTGTTACTCGTAGTATTAAGTGTTGGTATAGCAGTTGCTCTTCAGGGCTTTCGCCGTCCTGGGGACTCAGTGTCTGAAGGGCTGTACATCTAAAAAAATAGATTTGGCGCCGAGGACTTTAAAAAAAATATCAAAATTACAAAACACAACCTAACAAATTAAAGAGGCAAGAGGAAAGGCGGAGCGTCATAATATTAATACTCGGACGTCTTAGCAGAGGCTGAACGCGTGCGCAGTTTGCACCCCACCAGTAGCACTCCCGGTGCTTCTCAAACAGTTTTATTACAGCCAGTGTCAGTGCAAAGCTGCGGTTACAGCAATGTAAATCGGCTCTCGCTGCTGTCGCGCTAACGGAAGAGTCATGGCTTAAACCGACCGGGCAGGTCTCTCTCTGTTTAAGAGAACAACAGACATTCTATGCACGCCTGGAATAAGAAGGAAGGGCTAAATCCTGCAAGTCTTGATCCTATCAGTAGTCATTACTTGTCAGAGATCTCACTCCTCTCAGCCAGATTGCTCACATGCATAATGACTACTTATGTGATTAAGGGGGCTGCAGGATAAGGCTCTACATTTGAATTGGAGATAATAAAATCATTTTTTATTCACAGCCATGTGAATCTTTGTTTGTAAGCTTTCAGTAAATGCTCGTGATCTTTAGACCTTTAAAGAAGCAGGGCCAAAAAACGTCACTTTGCAACCAAAAGAAATAGTATCATTTTTGGGGAAATGCTGGATACGATAAGAGGAGTATTTCTGCTTCCCCATGTTACGGCAAGAACATTTACCAAAGACAAAACATGTGTTTTGTCTTATTTGGACAAGGTCCAAAATCTGGTTTTCTTCAACGTGATTTTATTAGGTATATTATACACTGTTCTGCTGGAGGAGAACAACATATGGCTGAACAGTACAACTTAATCCTAACTAAAGATTTCCTGTATCTACTGTAACCTAATACAATGACAGATGCACACTTGCATGTGTGTGGAAGGTTAACACTCCGATTTTGTTTTCGACAAATTTACTGTGCCCGTTTACATCGCATCATGAGAGCAAGGGGGGAAAAAAGAAATATAAATAAATAAACCCAACTGAGCGGCAGGGGATGACAGCCGATGCTGTGGTGCCCTCTGTTGAGCATCCGAGCCCCTCAGCCCTGAGCCCCAGCCCACCACAAACAAAGCCCCAGTTTCCTCTTAAAAAAAAAAAAAGCCGACCATGTTTCCTTCTTTTTTTTTTTTTTAATAAGGGAGGAAATGTTACTGAGAGCGAGCAACTGCAAAGCAACTGTTGGGCATCTGATAATGCATATGTTTGAGAAAGGATTAAGCGACACGCGTCTGCTAGGTGTTATTCACTCAGCAGATAGGAAATATTAGTGAGGCTCCATTGGAAAGAGGCAGCCACCATGTGCCCGAGGAGATCCCACCTGCCCCACGGCCCCCCGTGCCCCGGCAAGCTGGCATCCACCCCCTCTGGGGCCAGCCCCCCACTTTCTGCACCCCTGAGAGAGCACCCAGTGGAGACACCTCCAGGGGAGAGTCCTCCAGCCCTACACCAGCTCCTGCGGTGGGGAAGGCAAGGAGGTGTCAGTAGGAGAGCAAAACCCCAGCCACCTCCAGAGAATGGCTCTGCCTTAGGCAGCTGACTTTTGGGTGGCTCATTTGGCACCAAGCGATCCCAACGCACAGCCATCCAGAGCAGCGATGCTCTGAGTGCCCTTCATCTCCTGTGGATCCCAGCGCTGCATTTCTCAAAACTCCTAGTACATCTTCCACCCCATCATAAACTGTATGCTTGAAAACTAATTGAAGACTAATCCTTTTTCCTAAACCACATAATTTGGGGGGATCCAACTGTATGCAATAAGAAAGTGTCACTGACTGAACCCAACTCCACTTAAAATGGTTTTGTTAATTAGCTTTCTAATAAGCAAGCATGGGTGATCTTCTATGAAAGTAATCTAAATCCTGAAGTTAAACCTGTGCAGCTAAAAAGGGATGACAGCAAGGAAGATCTTACAGAACCTAATATTGTAAGATAGTGTTCTAATTTTGACATCCAATTTAAGAATAAGCTCTTCCTATGAATTTACAGACATCCTCAAAGGTATGGGGATACTTACCAGGAAAAACACATAATTTTCCTTATTCTTACGATGTAATTCATAATTGAAAAGGGGCTAGCTGACTTCCGTTAATGCAAATGGCCTCTTGAAATATTAAATTATGCCCAGACAAGAAGTGAGCTTTACAGCTCTTCATCACTCAGCGATAATAACCTGGAAGACAAGCAGGTCTTACCCTGCATTTGTGCAGGAAAGCCAAATCAAAATGAGACACCCATTTCCAGATCTCGCCAAACTCCAGTGCTTTGCTGTAGTGTCCAGCTGTTGGCCCAATTCCCACGCTACCGTGCTCAGCACGGAGAGGCTTCACAAAGGCTCTAAGCAAACACCTTGCCCCAAGCTAACTCATTCCGGAGTGACATGTGAAGGAGGACAAGAGAGCTCCATAGCTGTCCATGTACAGGTGGTGTGGAGGAGCTCCCAGGGCCAGGAACTGAATCCCAGAGAGCTGACAGCCACTCCATCCTTAGTCCTCGGGCACGTGGCTCCTGCCTGGGCAGAGGCAGCAGCAAGCTGCTGGCACAGCAACAGGCACAAACTGAGGCTGTGAAAGACCTCAACTCCATTTCACGGATGGCCTGGACCCTGGTAACCCCAGAAGGCGCTAAGTGCAGAGAGGAGCTCGGGTTCCTGCATCCCATGTGAGCATTTGACAAACATCACCTGTGAACCTCTCCCTTGACAGGTCCACATAGCCTTGAATCCCATTTCTTCCCACACCAGCAGGGCTGTGAGCTTGTGCGCAGCAACTGCCATCGTTGCCGGCGTGAACAGAGCACTCTGCTTTGTAGGTCTAGGTTATACCATCCCATGCAACTACTTTCTGGCTCCTTTCCCATCCCCTTCCTAATATACCAGAGAGGTCCTTGCTTGCCCTGGCATTGCCACGCTGCAGAACATGCAGCATCCAGACCTAGAGCTTTAGTAAAGTCAAGTTTCAATGAGGCCCACAAATGCAATTTTAGAGAAAGAAATCATAACCTTTGGTTCAGACTCAAAAAAAAAAAGGCAGGGGGAAAAAAAAAAAGCTCATCCTGGCAGGCTGGCTGCGCCAGTAAGAGATCCCTTCTGTAAGGAGCAGCAGCAGCATAGAGGTGCCAACCAGCAGAGGGCAATGGCACAGCACATAAGGTGCCAAGCCAGTTCACCACAACTCTTATCTCTGAAAATTCCTTCCAACTATTCCCCAGGGCTGGGAGAAAGCTGACACCTTTCTAGACAGCATCCAGGTTCCAACATATAAATCATTACCTTACAACAGAGATGCCTCTTTTCCCACTCCTGGACTAACAGCAGCAAGGTAAAACGCCCCATGTGCTGCCATTTTCTGCTGTCAGTACTCATTTAAGCTACAGACACCCACAGAACTGGAGAGTGAGTATGTGCTTTAAGAGAATCTACCCCTCTGTTTTGCCTTCTGAAGCAGAAGGTGGTTGTAAATATTTTTTATGCGATGCTGAAATACTGTACCTTGTTGCCAGATTGGCCTCTCTGCCATTCTAAAATGAGAGAGATTTTGGAAGCACGCTACTCCATGGGGCAGCACAGCTAAGCTAGAACTGCCCAGACCCAGACCTGGCTTCCCACACCCTTCATATGGCCAGTAATATTATCGCCTCTAGAAGTGCACTCACTCTATTTCACTCATCCTTCTTTCCTGAGGCGCAGAAAAAAAACCCTTCTGATCCTTTTCTGCTTTCCCTTCCCTGTCTCACATGCCTTCAAACCCAGTATTTATTGGCTATCTTTTTGGCCACAGATCCTATGTAACTGTATACAGAATATTATTCCTGCAGCGGTTAGCTCTCCCTGCCTTCAGCTGTTAAGCCTAACATATACACCCGAGGACCAACGATTTGTTGTCTGCTAGGGAGGCTTATAATACACTGACTGGAAAAATAGTGGGTCCACTGTTCCTCTACCCACTGACCACAAGGCTTAAAGCCTACTTAAATGATTTGCTTTTTCCCTTTGCTTATGCAGCTCTGATTCATGGAAACATTGATACCAAAAGAAGATGAATAGCCTCTACTCACAGTGTTTTACCATGCCCTTACCCCCCAGCAGTGGCTAAAGAGAGACTGCAAATGTATGCACGATTCCTGCCCCAGCAGCTGTGAGCAGCCTGCTCTCACGCCGGCAGTGCTGGGGTATTATGAGAACAGCAGAGAAAGCAGAAAATTACACCAACGGGGTCTCTGCCACTGCAGAAGGTGAAGTGGTTACAGCAGTGGGACTGAGGGATGCGGTACCGAAACACATACAGAACTCTTCGTGCAACGCAGGTCAGACTCTAGCTGAGTCTGATGCATGATTTTATACAGATTGCAGCTGTACTGAAAATGATCACAGCTGCCAGAGCTTGTTATGTTAGCAAGACTGGTAAACAAAGTAATTGGCATTATAAGAAATACCTGTGTTAGGAGATCTCGCTACAGAATTCTCCTAAGGGTTTGGCCCACAAAGACACTGATTTTCTATGAACACAAAGAGCAAGAGAAGTCTGTTTCTTTGCATGAGAATATCTAGCTCATTCTTGAAAGCTAGAAATAGACATCACGGTGAAAGATCCCCCAACCTTAGCGTACAATTGCAAAGGGACATAAATCCCAAACTATTATTTATAAGCAATGCAATGAGACGCAGTGGAAAAGCCCCAAATGAATTTTCCTTATAACCAATAGAGCTCAAGTCACGTGTATGAAATATGACTCTGCAAATAAAAAATAAACCCAAATGTGTAGCATGTAGAGATGACCACACGGTGGCTCTCAAGCACCAGAGATGAGCTATTTGAAAGCAGAAAATTGATGACATCATAAGAATGCCAACATCTCTAGGATAGGCTGTACTTACTTTTCCAGGAATTCTTGCAGACCCTGCCGGCGATGGTCCACGTGATGAGGATTGTTCATATTGAAAAACGGAGTTTTAGATGGCAGCTCAGGTAGCTGTCTTTAAAAACCAAGAAGCAGATACACAGTTAAAACCAAATCCAAAACAGCAGAGAAAAAAGCAATAAGCGAACACCAGCCCCAAGCATGTAAAAAATCATGGGTCATGTTCCAGAAGCTCATGAAATCGAATTTGGGAACACAAGGCTGAAAGACCGGAAGGCTTCTCACACACCTCAAAGGGAAAAATAAATTAATCTGTTTTTTCTGGTCCAGTTGTTAAACCTGCATGCATGCCTGGCTGGGTCTCTTCTGGTCCTTGAACATAAGCACGGCCTAAAAGCACAGAGGAAGTACGTACACCTACGCTAGATTGCAATTTCTGCTACCTGCGCATAGCAAAAGGAAACGCAGATCAAATCTGTTACAAATTAGAGGGGGGCTCCCCAAACAAAGGCTATCAGTACAAACCACATTCTTCCAGGTTTAAAGCAGAGAAAATGCCTTGTACAGAATAAACTAGTGCTAGTAAGAAACAGAGGACACTTTCCAGCTCTGATTTCTGTTATTCTCAGAAATAAGATGAAACAATACTCCCCCCCTTCCATGACTGACAGACTATTAAATAGCCATATATAAAATTCCTCACATAAGCACTGCGTTGCTCTGAAGCCTCTGCCGAAGCCAAACGAATTCTCGAAAGCGTCGTCTAACACAGGATGTTTTCCTTGTAAAGCACATGCTGTTTGTCTGTCGGGAAATAAAAGCCATTTTACTTTGTAAATCAGCTTAAGCTGAAGTGCAGGCACGGTGTTAAAAACACATCTGAGATGCTAATCCCTGCGACACCAGTGGAGAGCTTGACATTAATTCACTTTAGGTTAAGGACTGTGCTTCATCTCAGACAGGACTGGTGACAGTTTCTACCACTTCTCAGGGAAATATTTTTCAGTCGCTTTTTTTCTTTTTAAAAGCAAGAGATCTGGATTACGGTACAGCTTGCAGTAGCAGGAAAAAAGATCTCAAAAAAGCTTCAGCAGATAATGCCAATCTTTGCAGGGAAAAAAACATGTTTAGCTATTCTAGTTATAATCCTGCAAACAGCTACAGGGGTTCTTCCACTGTGCAATCCTACTTAAATCAAATCAAAGAAACCAATGTGGCTGCTCTCTGCAAGTAGCAGCATTTGGAAATTTTCCCACAGAACACTATTAGTCTGCTAGAAAAATGCTGATTCATGAAAAGAGAAACAATTCACGGAAATTAATTGCTTTTGCCAAATTTTCCCTGTGGAGCATACATTTAGATGAAAACCCAGCTACCAGACAGGACTCAGTTATAAATCTGCCTGCAGTCCAATCCACCCTCCATCGCCTGGCAGGAGCCACAGCTCCTGGACAGCCACGTGGTGCAGGCTGTAGAGGGCCCAAAGATGCCAGCTTTCTGGAATAGATGAGTGTCCAGGATACCTCACAGTTTGAGGCCAAATGCTCTAGGAGCTGGGCAGAAGGGGAACCCAGCTGGTCTAAGAGTGTGGCAGACCCAAGATTTTGAATCCATTGAGAAGCCTGGATGGTCGGACTGACCTACAGACTTGGTCTCTGAAAGCCCTGGCATTGCACTGGTAGGAAGCTGAGCTGATGCTTACCAGCTTCAGAGATGCCCAGTGCCGAATTGTGTAACACTGGGTCTAAAGGATATCACCCCAACTCAGCAGTTGCTGAGAAAGCCAGTAATGTACTTCTGCTCAGAAGCACTGATGCCTGCAAAATGGTAATGCAGCACCCGCCCCATCAAATCTACAGAATTCCTATTTACCAGAAGTCAACAATGTAACTGCTTCAGAACCAGTACTTAAACCGCATTGCAAAAAATGTAAATGTTTCGCAGCTCCGATTGCCACACAGGAGAGAAGTACTTGTCACGATGGACATTTAGTATGCTGTCATTTGACTGCTTGCTCTCATTATGCTGAATGCTTAACTCTCCCACACAGGAAGGAAACGCTTTCGGTCTTGTGCCAAGCGTTAACCATGTAGCTCGGCGCTCTCAAATTCTTCACCTGATAGCAGATACACTTCAGAAAAGGTTTTTTGTTGTTTTTTGGGGTTTTTTTTGTTTTTTTTTTACATTGCAATTAAAATCCCTGGATCTGTATTTGGGAAATTAAGGTAAGTCCTTCCATATGTCATCCACCAAAGAACAATCAACAAAACAAAATGATGTATAGGACAGGTTTAAGACACACGAGAACCATAATTCTAAGTGCACTGCCATTAACATATGGCAGACTACAATCATAAATCCAAATGTAGTTACTTGACATATCCAAGCACCACTAAACTAGCATAATATGAATGTCAAGGTATGCTGAAAACTAGCACATTGCAGCAACCAAATAACTGAGCAAAAAGAAGAACTGAGGAGAATTTAAAGTACAAATAACCAGATAAATACTTGAAAAGAAAGTTGTTTTCCCATGACTACCTGATATCAAAGTTCATCTACAATGGCAAGACATCATGGACTATGACAGTCTTCTAGGTGACAAAGTAAAGCTAAGAATAATCTCTGTTGCAAGACACTGTGGAGTGCACATGTGAACACAATACCAGGTTGAACTCCCAGCTCTGCCAGACCTACTGCACAGCCTTTGGCCAGCCCACCTTATCTGTTCCACTGCATCTCAGCCCTTACAAAGAGTAATATTCTCCAGCCTCCCAGAAGTGGTGTGTAAAAAAAAAAAAGAAAAAGAGAGAGAGAGAGAGAGAGAGAGAAATATCCACTAATACCCCAAAGAGAACCCTGACTTGGACAGAAAGAGAGCCCAAAGAATCTGTGTTGATATTTTTATACTTACATGAATAAATATCTCATAGTCTATGTAAGAATGCCACGTATCTTCTTTCTGTGTCCTGGGATCTCGCACCAAGACAGTTACAAATTCCTGCAAGCGCATAATAAAAATCAAGCAATTAATTTCAGAAGCCAAAGGCAGCCTGAAAGACTCTTGATTGCTCTGCTGTTCCACAAACTAGTGTGCTCAGATTAAAAGCTGAACTGCTGTTTTATCGAATTTTGCAACCCTATAAAAGGAGAAGCAAAAGCAATGAATCATCTGAACCACACCACGTGTGGGAAATTCCTTACCAAACTGCTAGCTGAAAAGGAGTATTTCAGATTAAGTAATACTGTGAGAAGTCATACAGGTTTCATGCATGGGAGATTTGGTGATCTCAGTAGCTATGAACTAAAAACCTAATGTTCAGTGTCACACATGTTAAGAGAGAAGTAGGCAGGTATTTTAGGCTTTTTTCACCCTTGTAATCAACATTCACAAAGAATGTGCTACAAACCTGCTCCAGGTACCAAAGACTAACACAGAACACTTTGTTTGCTCCTAAATTTCTTTTTGTCATTTTATCTATTTTTGGTTTTTTAAATCTAGTGTTTATACCCATCAATTTCAGGGATCTAAGGTAAGTGCTTGGTATCTCCAAGACGAACTGAAGAACTGCCTTTTTTCTACTCCCGAAATTACTTGCTCCAGCCCTGTGAAAAAGGATGTACCGCTATTAATTGCCCCGGACACAGATTTGAGACAGGAAACCAAGGTCTCAAGCCCGGTGTCCCAGATGCTGCATTCACCCAGAGGTGAATCCTCCCCCTCTGCCACATATCCTTCCTGATACACCGGGAACTTAAGCCATAGAGTACAGCCGAGGATGCAGGAGCTGGGCACTTCTGTCCTCATCTGCCCATCAACCCGCCCAAGGAAGCAACACAGCTGCACCGCAGAGCATAAGTCCCCTTTTTCATGGGGCAATGATATAGAGTATTTGTTGCAGAAGTTGTCACATCTCATCTATTTCCGTGTAATTCCTACATTTATATAATAATTTAGAGCGATCCCAAAGGAGTGCGAGGCACCTGTGGGCATTACTGTAACATGACTGGGCAAGATGGAAAGATGGGGAAAATCTTTTTAGTAGGGCCAGCTGTGTCAGGACAAGGGGTAATGGTTTTAAACTAAAACAGGGTAGGTTTAGACTGGATATAAGGAAGAAATTCTTTACAATGAGGGTGGTAAAACACTGGAACAGGTTGCCCAGGGAGGTGGTGGAGGCCCCATCCCTGGAAGCATTCAAGACCAGGTTGGACGGGGCTCTGAGCAACCTGATCTAGTTAGTGGTGTCCCTGCTCACTGCAGGGGGGTTGGACTAGATGACCTCTAGGGGTCCCTTCCAACCCAAAACATTCTATGATTCTATAATCACTAATAGGAATTGGAAGAGGCTGAAGAATTAAATGCTTCTGAGTATCCTCAGCTAATGACCACACGAAAACTTGTACTGAAAATAAAACCAGAAAACAAACCCCAAAACCCCTGTTAAATCTGTACGTTCATACTAAGATGGAAAAGGTTTCTTTGAGGTACAAAGGTTGAAAATGTGCTGAACTACCTATTTCCTGAGCAAACCAATAGGCTGCTCTACGTCAGTTGCTTAAATCAGCTGTTCACCTAAAGAGCTACGCCAACCACTTAAACAGTGACTCAGTTAAAGCAAAGCCTGTCATTTTAAGCTGTAGATACATTCCCCCCCAAGAGGAAGGCGCTGGACAAGATCTCCAGGTACAGGAATCGGCTGCGGGAGGAAGGCCAGGGTCTCTGGTACGTAACGTGCTTTTTTAGCACATTTTTGCATAAATCAGTAAGTCTCAAAATGGAAAGCTCTCCAAATGTGCCTCTCTGTGCCCAAACAGATGTCAGAAAAAAAACCTTTACTCTTCAGCCAAGTCGTCCCCCCGAACTCCACACACTCCAACATGCCACCAGCAGCAGCCTTCAGTGGACTGACAGGAGAACAGGGACAACCTTGAAAGGCAAAGATGTATTTTTTCCTGAACAGTCATTGCACTCTGTACATGGCAGGGAGGTGGTCACGGTCTGGATTTAATCATTTATCACTGTGATTCTCAGGTGGTACTGCTTGAGGGACGCGGAGCCTGTGCCCTGATGGCTGGATACAGCCCACGGTTTTAACCCCCTTAGCCCAGCTCCTAGTCACAGGGGTGTTTTCTGCATTATTGCTGGATACCTTCTCGGTGCGTGTCACAGCACCTTGCCAAAGAAATCCCGTTTGAAAGGCTCCCACCACCTCTGCCGCTTCTTTCCTTGCTGAAGAATGCCAGAGGCCCGATTCTCCCCTGCAGCTTTTTAATCCCATGCCAACATGGCAGAAGAGGAACAAATGAACAGAGCTGTAATCACTTCTACCAGCTGAGGGTCATGCCTTTATTTTACAAAAACACTAGTGGGAGACATGAGGAAGTTCTTCGCCCTCCTGAGCAATGTGCTGAACAAAGGAGAAGAAACCATTTTTGGTTGTTTTTGTCTGCCTGCCTCACTGTCTGTCATGTTTAGCACACATATATAGACACAGCATACCTTCAGACCCACTCTAACATCTTTTTATATCTGTCGCCTTATGTCCTCCCAAGTTTTTGTCTTCCCCAGCCTACTACTTCCCTGTGTCCCACTCCTCCCCAGAGCTGCAACCACTTCTCCTAAACATATTTCCTTTTCTTTCCTCAGCACTAAGTACATCAGTCCCGCCAGTGGAAGAAGAAGAATTATGCCAGGAAGCTTCTAAGGGGACCACTGCTCTCTTCTTGCCCTCAACTGCTGCAACCCAGTAGTCACAGCTGCAGGTAGCCTGCTCATAACCCAAAACCTTGGTCCCCTTCCTCCCACCTACCCCCATACCGCCATCTCATCGCCCTTCCTTTTGTCCAGGTTCCCCAAATTACTTCATTTCCAAGTAACCTTCTATAACCCTCTGCTTTGTACAGAATCAAAATAACCTTCGAAGTAAAATCCTACTTTCAACCTCTATTATACCAAAGTATTATGACTAGAAGTCACTATGGGATGTGCATTGGGTTAGCTACAGGTTACCTTGCAAATCATTCCAGAACACATGACTTACCAAAAAAACTCTGTGCACTTTTAATTTCCGATTAAATAATCACTGGGTTTCAACACTGGAGGAAGTCAAGCACCCTAGATTTAGACTTTACCTGTAGAAGAAAGGAGACCTGCTGCACACGCCGTGGTAGGCGTCCAGGCAGCACATCACTGAGCAAAGAGTAAAGATGATCTGCAGTCCAGCAGAGCACCTCAGCAACTGCAGCCACCACGCACAGTCAGGGTCAGCTCTGATTTGAAATACCAGGATTTTAGCTAAAGACTGTGTGGTTTGGTTTGTTGGTTTTCTTTTTCCTTTCTTTATCAAAAAATACCGATAACGAATTCAGAATGAAGCAAGATAAGCATTAAGCAACTAAAAAAAAAACCAAACCCCAAAATGTACAGCCTTTCTCAAGATCTATGGTTACTTCCCCTATAAATCCAGGAAGCATTAATCCCAATTCCCATCACAGCTTCTGCTGCTCTGAAACAGTGGCATTGCACACATAGACTATTCCTTCTCCTTTGACCTTTAAGCCTTCTCCAGGATAAAAGACACCCTTGGGACAGCAATATTGATTTAATCAAAGCAACCCTAATTGCCCAGTATAGATGCAGGTACACTGCCAGAAAAGGTGATTATGCCTCCCCATCCTGATTAGCTTGTAAAGGCCAATATTCACATGTAGGCTATGTTAGGGTCCAAGCAAAGTTAGGTGGCAGGATATTCCGCTGGGAGATCACTGTTGTGCGCTCCCTTCCCTCCCCATCTTGCTATAAAAATTAGGATATTCTTCAAAAGGCACGTCTATCTTCAAGCAATGCACTGTTCACCTTGGGGAGGTGAGGCCGACCTCTTCCTCCCGCAGCCCACATGGAACTTCACCTTTTGTCACAGGACTGCATTGCAGTCCATCTGTACAACCCAAGAAGCAGAGCCCGAAGAGGGCCAAGGTTTCAGGCACTTTTTACTTTTGTCAGCTGCAATCCTTTCCAAGGCATCTTCTGCCCCTGCCTAGTTCTGCTTGGTTTTTCCAGAATTGCAGAATCCTAGCTGTTATGCCACACTATATATACTTTCCATTTTTTTGGGAGGTTGTTTTGGGGTTTTTTTGTTTTGTTTTTTTGGGGTTGTGGGGGTTTTTCTGTTGGTTTTTTTTTGTTTGGTTGGTTTTTTTTAATTGAGGGGCACAATACATGCATATCTACCATGCATTCAAGAATTGTATGTGCCCTGTAATGCTTAAGTGCAACAATTCCCTCAAAACCAGAACTTACTGCTGACAGTTCAAAGTGTCCAAGCTTGGCTGTGGAGGCCTATTGCACTGGGAGCAATATAAACTCAACAGAATGCTACTGGAAAAAGTGGCATTTCCATTTATTCCCTTTCCCTGGAAACGGCTAAATTCATAAGCGAAACATTTCCTATCCAAACTTCTAGTGCCGTAGCTTTGATATGGATCCCAACAGCCACGCCGGCCCAAACATCCTGTCCTGGTTTTGGGCTGGGATAGAGTTAAGTTTGCTTCCTAGTAGCTGGTATAGTGTTTGCTGTGAGATCAGTATGACAATAATGTAATAACACACTGATGTTTTAGTTGCTGCTGAGCAGTGCTTAAATTAAGTCAAGGACTTTCCATCTTCTCATGCTCTGCCAGCAAGGAGGTGCACAAGAAGCTGGGAGAGGGCACAGCTGACCCAAACTGGCCAAAGGGGTATTCCATACCATATGACGTCATGCTCAGTATATAAACTGGGGGGAGTTGGCCAGGGGGCAGTAGTCACTGCTAATGGACTTGATCTGTCAGCAGGTGGTGAGCGGTTGCATCACTTGTTTTTCCTGGATTTTGTTCCTCTCTCTCTTTTGTTGCTTTCCTTTCCATTGCAATTTATTATTTTAATTATTAAACTGTTCTTATCTCAACCTAATGAGTTTTCTTACTTTTGCTCTTCTGATTCTCTCCCCTACCCCATGGCAGGGAAGGGGAGTAAGCAAGCCACTGTGTGGTATTTGGCTGCCAACTGGGGTTAAACCAGGACATATCGTAATGAAGAACTTCAAGTCTGCCCCAGGAGTAGTCATAACTACTACAAAAAGTAGTCGTAACTACTTAACAAGCAGGAATCAGCAGAGCAACTTCTCTGGCTGTGCCTTTTGATTCCTGGTTAAACCAGCCAGTTTAGGCATGGCACCGGTGGCATTTTGCTGCGCTGTCCTCAAGGCCTGGAGCAGACCAGCAGTCCACACATAAATGACAGAATGGCCAGAGTGACCCCCAAGCCTGGTTTATGCCTATTCCCTCAAGGTTACAGTCCTATGCAAAAGAACATGAGTGCTGACAGCAGAAGGAAAGGGCAGCGCTGAGGTCATGTAGACACAAGGACTGAAAACTTAAATGTTCCCATTTGGATTTGTCTCAAAAGGAAGAATACACCATAAAAGCAGCCAAAGCAAACACAAGAAGTCTTTCTCTTTTTTTTTTTTTTTTTCCTCCTCCCCCCGGAAATATTTCTGCACAACACAATGGATTGCTCCAAGACAACGATAAGCCAGAAGCTCTACTATATAGAATTCGACCACAGAAACTGTGTTTCTCAGAAGTCTCTTTTTAACATTTTCCTAATAGGAAATCTGACACGGAAACATCTATTTTTAATATGGGGGAAAAAAATCCACCACCAGGAAGAGGAATAAAAATGATCTCTTGTTGGATGATTACTTCCCTTAATCATTCCAGCAGCATTTTAATTCAAATCTCTGTGCTCAGGACCGTATCAGGTGATAACCTCATGCTCTGTGGTGCCACTGTTACACATCTGATTAGTCAATAACCCCTGAAGAGTCATTTTCCACAAAGCTTCCCAGAAAAATAGAGTTTCCCATCAGGTTGCCTATTAGTTAAAGGATCAACCACAAAGGACGTGGGGCTTTTCACACTGGGAGTGTTGGCATCTTCACTCCATGCATGCTGAATAGTAAGGCTGATAGGAGACTAATAGCTAAGACAAAATAATTCACTGAAACTTCTAATGTTCATTGGGACTGAGCAAAAGAGAACGTGCAAGTGTGATTCTTGTGGTCCATGCATCTGGTAGTCAGAATTCAGACTCAGCTCCAACCATTATGTCCTACAAAATACCTGAAGACTGATGGAGAGAAGACTGTAATCCAAGTCCTCCTCTCCGGTCTCGGTGTCCAAGCCCCTTACGCACAGAGTCACTTACTCTCCTTCTCTCTGATCCAATGAATATTTGATTCTTCCACCTAACTTTAACAGAAGGTACTGGCACTGCATCTCTCCAGAATATTCTGTAGCCTGGCAATTAAAAGCATGAAGAATACAACCAAGCTTTCCTGGTCCATGAAATTCCATCCACAATCACCAAACTAGAACCCCTTTTTATTAAAGCTTAGACGCGACTTACTGGTTTTTCATGTTTCGGTGTCATCTTCACTGGTTTGTATTAAAATAAAAATCAACCTGAAAAAAAAACCAAAACAGACATCATATTGGCATTATGTAGTTATTTGAAGGTCATTATCACTTTTTCTAGATATTAGTAGACAGTGCAAAAAGCCAGGCTCAGTGCCATATATACCAGAATACATGTTTGCATTAACTATATCTAAGAATTCATTCATTTTTTAAAAAAATCCCATTTTAGAAGCACCGGGTTAGTCCTCTTCTGGGGACATTTGTCTTACACGACAGTCCAGTTATGCTTGTCCATCTCTGGAAGTCAGTGCTCTTCTTCACTGCTCCGAGAGCTGCCCTGGGGCTCATCCTCGCACCCACCTCCCAGCAGCTCCCATACACAAACTCTCCCTCCCAGGCACCCCAGCACAGGTCTGCGTCACTGCAGCTGAGGTCCAGAGATGCTAAAACATCTGAGTCAGTAGAATCAAAAGCCCCTCTCAAACGTTTCTCTGAAACAGCCTAGCTATAACTCAGGTTAAATTTCACAGCATCTGGGGGTTTAAAACCTTCATGTAGGGAAGTGTATAGTTAGACCAAATAAAAAAATCCCATCATTAACTTATGTTTTAAACCTACTCTTTCACTGGAAATCCAAATAAATTTTTAACTACTTCTGCAGTCCCACAAACCAGCCGGTTTGCTCAGGACAGGTACCCACATGGGAAGAGCAGGGCTCTTGCTAGCTTACATACACACCACCTGCCAAAAAAAAAAAAAAAAAAACCAACCCCTCCTCTATACATTAAAAAAAAAAAAAGAAGAGCAGGGCTCTTGCTAGCTTACATACACACCACCTCCCAAAAAAAAAAAAAAAAACCAACCCCACAAACAAACAAAAAAAACCACCCCAAAACTAAAAGCCACCATGGGAAAAGGATTTGCAGTTTGCCTTTCCCCTTTACCTCTCCCATGTGCCATCCAGCCACTGCCAGCTAACACCTACACTGACCCCCAGCTACAAAAACGTCCTATTGCCTCCTCAGCCTCCTTTTTGCCAACCACGAGGACCCAAGCAGAATCCCTCCTTCATCCCAGGAGCACGGCTCCCTCCACTCATAACGGATGGTCAGGATGGATGCCACTCAAGCAGAGCAAAATCCTGCCGTGCACCTCGCATTGGTGAAGGTGGATTTGCAGCTTGCTTAGGCAATCCTCAGCAGCTGCTGTCAGCTGGCTGCAAAATGCTCACATGTGACTAGGGAAGACACATGGCTATGTTTTCGGGGGTGGTTTGCTAAGGTTTAGCGATACAGAGCTTGGAGCCGATCATATTATTATACAACTATATATTTAGGTCAAGCCCAGCTAAGGACTCCTGGACACCCCAATGCCTCTTAAAAACATCCCTAACTGTCCAAACACAACTCCACCTATTTTAATAAAGCAGACCACAAAGATAAGCACACATACATTTCTTTGCCCAGGAAATTATTTTGGAACAAACACATCTTTATCAAATGTCTATAGGCTCAGTGTATCAAAAGAGGATACTCTGTCTCCAAACAGAGATGCCCATGCACAGCACTTCAGACATCCTAAAAGGGTACCACCAGTACGGTTCCCATCTCCATAAAGATAAGGCCACCATTTCACTTCTGTAGCTAGGACTGTGCTAAGAAAAGCACAGATGACTGTTGAAAACACACTCCCAATAACTTTTGGGGTTTTTTGCTCAATGTATTTATGTTTAACTGGTATGTATGCTCTGGGCTGAAGGCACAGAAGAGCGCTCCAGCACTCTCTGCTGCACAGGCTCAGCAGCGCCAAGCAGCTCAGCAAGGAGGGGCAAGAATTTGGCTCATCTGTTGTAACTGCTGCTAATACAGAAATATGTTAGGAGCTTTCCTTTTGGTGGAGATAAAATGACTTTTACCTCTCAGGCAAGCACAAGCCCACACCACAGAAAACACCGTGCTGTTAGAAGAGGAAGAGCTGTTTCTGTCCGCTACCTCCCCTTGTTGGGTGCAGTTGTAAACCTATATATATATACACACACAGGGCTTTTTCCCCCCCTTTCTGCTCTGGTTGAATGTGGTTTTGTTTTTTAAATGGCAATTCAAATTTTGTTTCAGATTTTTTTTTTCCCCTATCAGATTCTCTCTCCCCCTGTCTCTTAACTGCTTTAAGTAAGAAATTATGCAAGCTCAAAATATCTCATTCCCGACACTGTTAGCGAATGATGGGGCTGAAATAACACATTTCATTTTGTCTTCTGCTTTATAATGACAGTTATGTGCTGGTGCAGGTTAGAAAGAAGGGTTTAGACTCCAAACAGCCATTGCAATTTTAAATATTTAATGACTAAAATGAATATTTCAGCATGAAAAACCTTCCTAAAATGATGAAAAAATGATGTATTTTAAATAAGTAATTTGGAAAAAAAAATAGCAATACAAGCCCACCAAAGCTACCTTTCCCACAGACATTTCAGCAGCTCCAAGATCGTCCCCAGTCACACCGCAGCCACTTGCAAACATACTGAACACAGTATTCTGTCTGGTCTAGCAAGACATATTTAGGACTTCTTCAATACACGTAGAAGTCACTGAAGCAGAACAGTTCAACCGTCTGCTTGAGAAGATGCCTTTTTATCTTTAGAAAAACCCTACCCAAAATACCGGTGACAGAGAGAAGCAGCCTTCAGAAGACAAACAGAAGGTTGCTGGTCTTTTCACTCGTAAAAAAAAATTTCCACTGACAGAGAAACGAACCAGTGCTGGGAAAAAGAATCAAAAAAAGGCAGTGGTAGATCTGTAGTTTTGATAAAATGTTTTCTGCTGTGAGTGGGAAAAAAAACAACATTGCTTTGAGTAAGTTTTCGTTCTGCTTCTGATCCATTATCAGACTGAAGGCTTTTTTATTATTACTTCGTTTCATGTACTTAACATAACACCTGCTCCTTGCAGTACATATTTTTGACAGTTCTTAATTGCATAATCAACGAAACCGCCAGGGAACGGCTCCACAACCGCCAACAGCAACAACCCAAAGCAAAAAGATTAGGTGGGATGACTCGCCATACTTCCTGTAGCCGAAAAAAAATCAGGGCAGGGAGGGGGAAACCCAAGCACTGCAGTGCTTTTCTTAGGGGTAACAGATAAACTGCAGTGTTATTCTTAGGGACAGTAGATAAACACTACTAAGTATTACATTTTATCATGGTTTAGAGTTGATTTTATATTTTAAAGTCTAAATTAAAACGAGTTACTTTTATTACTTGGGAATACCCTTTTATCATGTAAATGGACTGCTCTTAAAGGAGGAAGTAACTTCTCCTGCATCCCCAAACTGAAAGATTAAAACTGAAGCAGTACCACAGACAAAACCCATGGCAACGTGCTGCAAGAACAGCAGAGAGGCACGCAAGCCCTCCCGGCCGCCTCCCCAGTAGCTGTGTTTAGTTGCACTGAAATTTTATGATTTCACTCGTTGCTGGGCAGTGGCCCACGCAGCGTTCCTGTCTGCTCCGGGAGGGCTCACAGATTCCACGCGGCCAGCGTTTCACCTCAAGCAATAAATGTTGATCTTCGGCTCAAGAATTATCCATCCACCCACCTTTGGTTATTCCTAGACATATAACTAAACGACCACCTTCAAGCTTTAACGGGGAAGAGTGATATCTTTTCAGACCTTGGTGATGATTGAAAGTCCTATCCAGCCACAAGCAAAGTCCTCAGCTGTGCTTTCAAGGTTGTTCCCATCACCGGTATCAAATGAAACTTTCATTCAAGGCTTCAATGTGACCGAGAGAGAGATCACAATTAAACCTCTACTTATCCTGCCTTTTATGTTCTGATTACCTGAACACTTGTAAAAAAAAAAAGTGTCATAAGAATTTTGATCTACAGGCTGTAGAAAGTTTAGCTGCATCTATACATGGGGTTCACTATCACAAAACATGCTTGCATGCACCCGACCTCACTATGTTCCTGAAAGGCAAGTCATCCATATGGATTTGTAAGGAAAATACACATGCAGGGGGTGATGGTGGGAGGGGGAGGATACAAAGGATAGAGCTGTAATAAGAGAAGATGCCAGCTCTGGAGAGTTTAAAAAAAAAAAAAAGACTATAATAAACTCAATAATCCCGTGCTAAAACATAAGTAGTACTTTAGATTCGGGACAGGATAATGCAAATTTATTTTGGGGAGTATCAATAGTATTTGTAGAAGCCTCAGGTATCAGCATCTTCTGCAAGCCCTGCACAGAGCAGAGGACCTGAGAGGCACCCGTGCCGCTACTGCTGCAAGGAAAGAAGAAACAGAGGAGCTAAATCTCCACGTAGTATTAGCTCACAGCTAGCCAGAAGCATGTATGAAATAATACAGGCTTCAAATGAAAGGATTATAAGACGCAGAAAGCAATATCAACTTGTTTACGGAACAAAATCCTCTGGAAAGGCCCATCCAGTCCAGCAGCGACTTAGATGGTGGCTCGCACTGGAACCTCAGAGTATAAGAAACAGACAAAATTTTGAATGCTTATTCCCCAGTTTTGAAGAAAATAGTATGAAAACTAGATATAGGTAGCATCAAGAGAAGCGTGGCCAGCAGGTCGAGGGAGGTGATTCTGCCCCTCTACTCTGCTCTGGTGAGACCTCACCTAGAGTACTGCGTCCAGCTCTGGAGCCCTCAGCACAAGAAGGACATGGAACTGTTGGAGCAGGTCCAGAGGAGGGCCACAAAAATGATCCAAGGGCTGGAGCACCTCTCCTATGAGGACAGGCTGAGGGAGCTGGGACTGTTCAGGCTGGAGAAGAAGAGGCTGCAGGGAGACATGATTACGGCCTTTCAGTACCTAAAGGGGGCCTATAGGAAAGATGGGGAAAATCTTTTTAGTAGGGCCAGCAGTGACAGGACAAGGGGTAATGGTTTTAAACTAAAACAGGGTAGGTTTAGACTGGATATAAGGAAGAAATTCTTTACAATGAGGGTGGTGAAACACTGGAACGGGTTGCCCAGAGAGGTGGTGGAGGCCCCATCCCTGGAAACATTCAAGGCCAGG